TTCTTTTTCTGTAATTTGTTTTATTTATTTTTTGTTGAGAATATGCACAGCAGAACATAACACCGATTCAATTTCTACATGTACAGTTCGGTGACATTGATTACATTCTTCGAGTTGTGCAACCATTCTCACCCTCCTTTTCTGAATTGTTCCTCCTCCATAAACATAAGCTGTCTGCCCCCTAAATTACCTGCCTAATCTTTCGAGTTGCCAGTTTGATCCAATATAGATAGTTCTTTTTAAAAAAATTTTTTTTACTGTGTTTTAGGTAGAAGTTTACATAGCAAGTTAGGTGCCCATTTAACAGTTTTTATACACCTTGTTCCATGACATTGGTTAAATTTTTCACAATGCGTCAACATTCTCATTATTTCTATTCTTTCTGTTCTGTTTCCATTAATCTGGCTTCCCTGCCTCTCCTTAGCTTCTCATCTTTGTTTTCTAATGATTACAGTGAAGTGAGGCACAAGAGGAAGCCTCAAAATCTCGTAAGTAGCTATTTGCTACCTTGTAACATTATTCCTGTTTCAGTTGTTGAAACACTCATTCACAACATGTTGGAAGTATTGGGGAAACCTAATATTGTACTGAGGGATTCAGTTTCTTTCAGAAAGAGTTGTTGGCAGCTGTCTGGTAGGGTGTCTTCTGTGTCCTTCTGAAATCATTTATTGACTGCTTGAATATCTTAGTATTATGCACAGTACAAAGACCCTGACGGGTATATTCACTTTATACCTAAGAAGTTACTGCCTATGTACCCAGTCATGTGTTTAGGATTGCTAGTGATTTACGTTGGGCCAGTACAAAGTAATGTGCATTTAATATGTATTCTATTTTATTTTTTGTGTAAACAGGCTATTAAGAGATAGACCATTAAATTTAACAACCTACTAGTATTAATGTTTTTCATATGGTTACTGTCTTACGATTTAAATACCAGAATTAAAAACTTAATCCTTGTCTTTTATAGCACTTTTTAAAAATCCTATTTTTTTAAAAGTAAGTTTTTTCACATTTTAAAAAAGGCTTACTTCTGATTTTTGTTAAGATTTTGGAAATCTCACCAGCATTTTGAGACATCGTCTTGATTGTTTTAATTCATCGGTATTTGCCATTAGGAGGACTTAATTAAAGGTCATAATGTTAATCTGATGCTATAATTAAAAACTAGAGTGCTACCTAAAAGCAAAAGTTTATTAGTGAGGATAAATATAGGAATTTTAAAAGGTTTTGATATTTTGAGTACTAATTGGAATATTTTTATATGAATAGTGCTGAGTGGGTAGAATTGCTTTTGTGTCTAGAAAGTGGTAGCAAAACTGTTTATTAGTTTTTTGTAAATAAAATTGGGCTCTCTAAATTATTTGTCATTGTGAGACTAATAAGCATTGTACTACCAAAATACAGTGGTTCTTTATTAGGAAATCTGATTATGAAAGGGTCAGGTACACAAAATAAAGAAATTAAGAGAAATTTAGAGAAATGTTTCATAACATTTCTTCACTTTTACTCATTTTAAATAAGTGCCTTTACTATGATTTAAATACTTTACTAGTTTGAGCTTGTTTAAATTTGGCTTTCATAGACATTATTTGGAGTTTGTGACTTAGAGAAAGAGACTTGAGATGGAATAATGTGTCTGAAATTTTGCTTATGTGTTTCAGATGAGGAGGCCATCTGTTCGTTTTGGGAAAGAGAACGGTGGGGAAGGTGGGCGATAAAAGGATTTTTAAAAATGTTAAGGCTTTAACTTAAGCTACTAAATGATCTACTTCCCCCTTTTGCCAAGTAAAGTTATTTTAATGTTTAAATACACAAAAGGAATAAATTATTCTCGTGTTAAAAAGTAAGATAAAAGGCTTTAGATTCTCATATCTTGGTGTATCTAATTTTTATTCCTGAGCAGTAGCATTACTGCTATGTCATTTAATTATATTGTTCTTTTTTTGAAAACCTAATTTGTATGTTGACACAGATGCAGTATTCTGAATGTTTTGTTGTATAATATGTGCTTTTCTTAATTGTTCTTAACACGCAGTTAGGATAATTTGTTATAAATGTGTTTATGCCTTACCATAACATATTGGGTAAAATTAACTCCCTACATTTTATCATTATTACTGTTGTATATTTTCCATCATTTCTATTATTTAATTTGTAGCTCTGATCTCTAGAAATACAGTCCAGAGATTGCTAGGCTTCTTTGTGATTCATGGAGTGGAAGGATATTGAATGTGAAAGAGACTATCGTGAGTTTCTTGGTAGCAGAGTAAGCTTGAAAAAGGCCACCCTGGGAATTAATGAACTACCCTTTCTTTCAAAATTCATCCAACAAATATTTATTGAGTCACTACTACATGCCAGGCATGGTGCTAGGCACTGAGAATACAAAAGTAAATGAGATAGTCCTTGACCTCAAGCTGCTGTTCAGGCAGAGGCTGGATAGCCGCTTGTCAGCGATTTTGAATGGGGAATTCAAACATTGGCTAGGGGCCTGCACTAGGAGATCTGTTTGGAACAGACTTATAGTTGGTTAGTGTGAGAATAGGAAATAAAATAAAGGACAGAAACTAGAGAGGAATGAGTGTTTAAATGAATGTGCTAGCAGTTATTTTATGGTGGCATCTGGTATTTGGAGACAGAGATAAAGGGACGCTGGGTTTGGATCATGAATAGAAGTAAACTTTTACAAATCAAACTGCAGTGTTTTGAAATGAACTTAATGATCACAATTAAGTCAGATTTCAAGGAGATCTTTGGCTGAAGAAGTTTAGAATTTGCTCTTTACATGAGATTCCAGATACCTATAATAGGAAAAACTGTTAAACATGTAAATGAGTTTTTATCATTTTAATAAGGATTATACCAGCAACATACAATGGTTCTCAAAGGGTCGTGTACACGAAATCTGGAGACAGTTGATTTCTTGTGCACTTATGTTCTGAAATGTTTCAGGTCTAAAACTGATTTAAAGTGGAACTTTGTTTTCTAGATAATGAGTTTTAACAAAAAGAAAGACTTCTAGAAAAGAAGTTCCCATTGAATTCAAGCTTCTGTTAGACTTCATTGATTTGTTTGAGTGAGCTTATCCATGCTCAGTAATACCTCTTTTATCATACAGTGTTGGGGTACAAAATACTCTGCTAAGTGAGTTTTCTAGATAATGAAGCTTACTCTTCTAAGCACTAACCTTTTTTTTTTTTTTTAACTTTAACCTTTTTCAGGAGATTCTAAAATGTACTAAATAAATATCTTTCTAAATGATATACAGAACATAATTTAACTATGTCATATTGATCTTTAATGTCAGTTACTATGTTCTTTTGTGTTGGGGGCAGGAAGCGATTGAGGTACTTAAATTATTTGCCTTGGCCTGTGCTAAAGCCCTTAGATGGTCTTGCTTTTTGAACCAGTTTTTGTTTTTGTGTCCTCTAATTCTCATTTCTCCTTAGGTTGTCACCTGTCATCTCGCATCTATCACTGTATCTGGTGCCAACAGCCAGTTCCCTTTCTAATTTACTGCTAGAACTAAGCTGTAGGCATAGGGAAACTACGTAAACTAGTGATTGGTTTATTTTATAAATAAGTAGTTGAATTTGCTCCAGATTCTTAACTTCTTTAGAATATTTGATCAGGATGTGAGGTAGGTTTGTTTATTTAGTATTTATAATTCTATTATAAATAGCCTTGTGCCCTCACTGAATACTGAAATCTTAAATCCTTTCAAAATATTCTTTTCCATGTAATTTCCTAGTCTTGTTAGTCTTTCAAATTCTTTGCTCAATAATTCTTAACAAAAATGTAGCTCTCCCACCAATACAAGTTATTGTATCTATGATTTGATTTAACTCTGATCACAACTCCTTAGCATCTGGAGATCTGTTTCCTTTCGATTTTACTTAGTTGCTTGGTTCTGAACTGGAATACTGGGAAAACGTCAGGCAAAACAGTTTTTCTAATTTCTCTGTAGTTAGTGGCTGTCTCCAAGTGTGCTGCATTATTGGGTGAGGTGGTCATTCCCAGCACACCCTGCCTTGTTGCAGAACCTCTCAGAGGCAAACTCAGAAGAATATCCAGCTCTCCTTTTGTCTTAGCCTTCCTTTAACTCATTCCCAATCCCATTCCATTCCACTGCGTTGTCTGTTGACCTCTTACCTTTGTTGCTCATCCTAACCATGCCTCTTCTAGCTCCTCTCTCCCTCCTCCACCAGTGACTCTTGTTCCCTTTTTGAGGTGCTCTTTTCCCACAGGAGCAGGGTAAAATTACTGTAATATGAAAATATGTGGAGGATGTGGGTTGAGAGAAGGGGGACATGGTAAGAAGCAAATCAAAATAAGGGGAGAAGTTAGTAACCATAGGTTATTCTCTTTTCAGTTTCAGAGCCTCAGTTTTCTAATCTGTAAAATGGAGATAATGGTGCCTACTTAATAGGGTGTTTGTTAGAAATAAGCAGGATGTATAAGTTGCTCGTTAAGTTGCCAGGTACCTTCCTCCTTTTTCCCCTTTATTTACAGGTACAGTTCATCATTTAGGGCTAAAAAAAAAAAAAAAAACTTTTTATATTTATGAGGAAATATGGTTTACTGATAAATGTTAGCAAACAAAGTCATTTCAGGTTAGTTTTATAAAATATTTATTGTTGTAGAATGTTATCTAGTTAATATGCTGACAAATACTGTAAGGGTAGCGTGTATGCTAGCTGATTGTTGCAGCAAGAATAAGAACCAGAACTTCTCAATGCTGTACATTTGGAGAGTACCGTTCTTTAAAATGGATTTTTAGAATAGATTCCATAAATGAAATTTGATGAAATTATTTCTGTTAATCTGCAACAGGCATTCTGAAACTTATTGTGATGGCACAGTTCACCTAGCAGTCTCTGAGTGTCTCCTCAGGTGACTAGACATGATGCTCTTAGGAAAGACTTCCTTGTTAGAAGATGGCTCTTAAATGATGCAGCTCTTCCTCTAAGTAGTTTCTCCCTCCAATTTTTCTACAGACAGATACATCATCAGGAATGGAATTGCAGTCATGGTATCCTGTTATAAAGCAGGAAGGTGACCATGTTTCTCAGACACATTCATTTTTACACCCCAGGTGAGCGGGTATTCATTCATTTAACATTTGCTATATGCCAGATACTGTTCTAGAGCCTGGAATTCATTATTCAGCTAATCATAGATTATCTTTGAAAATTAAAAATTGTTTTCTAAACAAGTATATTGTGTTTTAATACTTTTTTTGTTGTTTCTGTTTATAGGGAAATTGTAGGAGTATTGTTTACTTCATTCTGATTAGAAAAAATTCAAAGAAAAAATGTAAAATGAAATTTACTATAAATTGTATTGAATATTTGAGATAACCTTTACTTGGTGTTTCTGACAATATTTTTTTTTTTTCCTAGAAAAAGGTAACTTCGTTTTTGCTGGGTTCTTGATATTTTTATGTTTTAATGACAAAAATCACAAGCTTGAAAAAGTTCAGATAATCCAGATGTAAAAAAGGAAAATTCTCCTTAATTTCCTTCAAGAAGTAAACCAGCTCTTCAAGAGTTTGGTGTGTAACTTTGATATTTTAAAAAGAAATTTCTGTGATACTTAGCAGCTTTCAGACTAACTACAACCTTCCAAAATCAAGTTTTCATGCTTTCAATAAGAATATGTCCTAGATTAGAAACTTTATTGAGTCCTGGATTTTTATCTGCTGCTGCAAATATATATTCCCTCCAAGCATGGTGATGAAGCCTCAGTCTTATTTACATTTGCATAGTCATTACTGTACTTACTGCATTTGAATTAAGTCTTTTGGGCAGTATGAAACCTGTCAGTTTTCTTAACAGAATACTGAGTTTTCACCTCTAGGATTCACGCGATTGATAAAAAGGGACAATATAGGTGTCCTGTACGAAGAAAATGAGATGTAAGAAGAGATTATCTGGAGTTTAGGGGATGAAGTGTTGTGTCAGTTAAGTGGTTACATCTTCTGACTAAAGGTTACACAGATAATAGTTAAAAATATGGTAATTAAGTTTCTAACTCAAGTTTGTTCCATAAGCTTCTCAGATAATTAACCTACTGAGGAATTTTATGTGAACTTTGAGCACAATTAGTTATCCCTCTTAGTTTTACACAATTTACTATTGCTGTTTTATCAAATAAGTAGGAAGTACTCAAGTATCTTAGGGAGGTTGCCTTGTGGGGGTTGATGTAAGGATATATTCACAGCACCTGTGCTCTTTCTGCGCTCTATAAGAAGAGCCCTGTGAGCTCTTCATTGGGCTTGTGGTGAACTCAGCCCTAGCCATGCAGTGTGGGGCTGACGCAGCCTCACTGTAGCTAAGAGCAAGGATTCCCTGCTTTGGAGGAGTGTTGGGGCAAGAAAATAGTCCCCCAAAGCAGCATACGGTCTGTTATCTTTCTGGCATAAACCTTAAAGACTCAGGGCTGTTAAGCCACTCTGTAAAGTGCTTCCAGCTTTTAGTTCCCATGTGATTTTCTGGACAGGAGAAGAGACTGCTTTTCTTTCCCAGTAAGTATCTTTTTAGTGCATAGAAATTACTTGCAAAGTAACAAAATCCTTCATAGTTTTGCTCTTAATGCTTAAATGCTGATTTTTTCAAGATTTGTCTTCTATGACCCTTACTTTCTGAGTTATTATATTGTCTGTTTTGGTAAAAATAAAAAAAAAATCAAGTTTAACCATAGAAATAAGCATTATATATTTTTATTTTTACTCTAACATGTAATATGTGTCTTATTTTGCCTTTGTTTTCAGCTACTACTTATACATGTGTGATAAAGTGGTTGCCCCAAATGTGTCTCTTACTTCTGCTGTGTCCCAGTGTAAAGAGATCCCAAAGACAGAGGCGTGTAAGTCCATGCCAAGACAGTCAGAGAAGCCGCACAGTACTGGCAAACATCAAAAGCCAGTGTCTTACCCAGATGTCTCACTCGAGGAACAGGAGAAGCTGGATTTAAAAACAAGTAGAGAATTATGTAGCCGTTTTGGTGAGTATTCACCAATTATCTTTTTAAAATAAGATACCAAAATATCTGATAAACACATTTATTCAGCATTGTCAAAGATTTTTATTTAAGAGAATAATTGAAGCTTTAACTTTAAAAAAGAAACCTATGTTTTTTACTCTGGGTGATTATTTGAACCTGAACTGCTCTTAGAATGATGATAGCTATAGAGGCAAATGAGATGTATATATAGACTACATCATTTTCACACTGCAAATAATTTTTGTCTGATTTATTTTCTCTTCCTGCCTTTGCCGTCAGATTCGTCAGTAGGTCTTTATTTTTCTTTCTAATTTGCTATGAACTGAGAAATGATTTAACTAGTAATGCTAAAAAGTATGTATAAGTTTTTAAGAGTAAGTTCGCTATATAGGACTCAGGGGAACTTAGTTATGGAAGAAAGCAAGGATTGAAAATTCATAGATACAGTGGCCTGGCAGATGGCATAAATGTAGAATGCTGGCTGGAATCTAAAAAAGAGCTGCCTACTAACAGTGTCTTTTAAAATACTATGGACCAAACAAGACATGCCACTTGTTTTACCTCCATACAGCAGCAGAGTTTTGCTTATACCTTAGGCAGTGTGACAGTTACTTCAGTTGCCCTGAAGCAGTTGAAGAGCCCTCTGATTATTTAATTGTTTTCATAGAGAATTGAGATACTTGGAGGTTTTTGGACTTTAATTTTGAAATTTAAAAAACTCAGTTTCTTTTGATTTAATTATGATAAATAATTTGTAATGTTACCACTTCGTCATTCTTGGCATGTATCTTATCTTCCAAATTAATTTATTCTAGTGGCTTTTTAAAATTGTTGAGATATAAACATACCGTAAAATTCACCCCTTTAAAATGAGCAATTCAGTGCTTTTTACTATATTCATACAGTTGTACAACCATCACACCTAATTCCAGAACAAGTTTATCACTCCAAAAGGAAACTCTAACCCGTTAGCAGCCACTCATCCTCTCCCCTTCCCCAACCTCTAGCAACCACTAATCTACTTTCTGTCTTTATGGATTTGCCTATTTTGGGTATTTCATGTAAAAGGAATCATACAATATGTTACTTTTTGTGTCTGGCTGCCTTCACTTAGCATAGTGTTTTCACAGTCCATGTTGTATCAGTCTTCCTTCCTTTTTATGACTGAATCGTATTTCATTATATAGATGTATTTATTCCATTTTGTTTATCTATCCATCAGTTGATGAACATTTGGGTTGTTTCCACATTTTGACTATTATGACTAACGCTGCTATGAACATTCATGTACAAGTTTTAGTGTGGACATAGTTCTCTTGGGTATATACCTAGAAGTAGAGTTGCTGGGTTGTATGGTAACTTTTTGAAGGAGCCTTGGTGGTACAGTGGTTAAAGTGTTCGGCCCTAGCTGAAAGTTCGATGGTTCGAACCCACCAGCCTGTTCCTTGGGATAAAGATGTGGCAGTCTGCCTCCATAAAGATTTACAGCCTTAGAAACCCTATGGGGCAGTTCTACTCTGTCCTGTAGGGTCACTATGAGTCAAAATTGACTCAGTGGCAGTGGGTATGGTAACTTTTTGAGGAATTGTCGAACTGTTTTCTAAAGCAGCTGCACCATTTTACATTCCCATCAGCAGTGTATGAGGGTTCCAATCTCTCCACATTCTCAACACTTATTGTCTGTCTTATTGGTTATACCCATCCTAGTGGTTGTTAAGTGGTAACTCATTGTGATTTTGATTTGCAATTCTCCAGTGACTAATGATGTTGATAATCTTCATGTGCTTATTGGCTGTTGATATAGCTTCTTTAGAGAAATGTCTGTTCATATCCTTTGTCCATTTTTAAACTGAGTCATTAATCCTTTTATTGTGAAGTTGTAAGAGTTCTTTACATATTCTAGATACTAGACATTTATCAGATACATGATTTGCCACTTTGTGGGTTGTCTTCTCACTTTCTTAATCAAGTCCTTTGACACACAAAGTTTTAAATTTTGATGAGGTCCAGTTTTTTAAATTTTTTTGGTTGCTTGCTTTCTATGTCATATCTAAGAAACCATTGCCTAATCCATGTCATGAAGATTTACAGTTATGAGTTTTAGCTCTTACATTTAGGTCTTTGATCCATTTTAAGTTAATTGTTACATATGATGTGAGGTGTAGGGGTCCAACCTGATTCTTTAGCATGTGGATATAGTTGTCACAGCACCATTTGTTGGAAAGATTATTCTTTCCGCATTGAATTGTCTTGGCTCCCTTGTCGAAAATCCGTTGCCCATAAAAACATGAATCTATTTCTGGATTCTCAATTCTTTTCCGTTTATTTATGTCTATCCTCATGCCAATACCACACAGTCTTGATTTCTGTAGCTTTGTAGTAATTTTTGAAATTGGGAAGTGTAAGTCTTCCAATTTTGTTCTTCTTTTTCAAGATTGTTTTGGGTGTTCTGGATCCCTTGCATTTCCATATGAATTTTGGAAACAACTTGTCAATTTCTGCCAGAAAGCCAGCTGGGATTTAATAGGGGTTATGTTGAATAAGTAGACTTAACAATATTAAGTCTTCTTTATTTTTTATTGTACTTTGGGTGAAGGTTTACAGAGCAAATTAGTTTCTCATTAAACAATTAATACACGTATTGTTTTGTGACATTGGTTCCAATATTAAGTCTTCTAATCCATAAACATGGCATCTTTCCATTTATCTAATTTATCTTTAATTTCTTTCAGTGATGTTTTATAGTTTTTAGTGTGCACATTTTGCATTTCTTTGTGAAATTTATTCCTAAGTGTTTTGTTCTTTTTGATGCTGTTGTAAATAGATTTTTTTTTAAAATTTCATTTATGGATTATTTTGATGACTTTTTAACAAAGTGATATTCATACTTTGTTACTTTATTTTTGCCTTTCAAAGATCCATCAATTCCAAATAATTCTACAAGTGAGAAGAAACCCGAGTCTGCCACTAGCAACTTAGTCAGAGACACAAGCAAGGTGGGGATCGGTCATGATGCTGCAGCTTCATCTCCACTTCTGGTCAAAGATGTCATTTGTGAGGATGATAAGGGGAAAATCATGGAAGAAGTAATGAGAACTTATGTAAAACAACAGGAAAAACTGAACTCAATTCTGCAGAAGAAGCAACAACTTCAGATGGTAAAATTGTTATTTAAATGATAGTCCATTATGAAAAGCTACTTTTGCATATTTAGTAAGAAAAATCAAGATGAGATGCTGCAGATGTGCTTATAAAATAATTCAAAATTTTATACTGATAAGTAGTTTCAATATACTTTTATTAACTTTTCAGAGTAAATGGTTTTTCAAGATAATAAAATCCAGTTCTGTAATACAAATCAGTTTTGTTTTGAACTGATATGATGGCTGAATTTTAGGAATTTTTCTCTTCTCTTTTCCCTGAACTGAAATTTTTGGCGTGATGAAAATAAAGTAAAAATTGCGTTGTACTTCTTTACATTACAGGAAGTGGAAATGTTGAGTAGTTCAAAAGCTATGAAGGAACTCACTGAAGAACAGCAGAATTTACAGAAAGAGCTTGAATCTTTGCAGAATGAACATGCTCAAAGAATGGAAGAATTTTATGTTGAACAGAAAGACTTAGAGAAAAAATTAGAGCAGGTAATGAAGCAGAAATGTACCTGTGACTCAAATTTAGAAAAAGATAAAGAGGCTGAATACGCAGCACAGGTAAGAATTACTCAGTTTATCTAATGTTGCCCTTTCAACATGGAAATGGAAACTGTCATCTTCTCTATTAAAGGAATTGCTCATGGCCAACCTCATTTCATTAGGCTAGATTTTAAAATAGATAATTCTGTTAAACACAACCTTCTACTATATTATCCAAGATGATTTTTTATCTTTATTGTTTTGTTTTAAACTGGTATTGGGTTTCTGTAGTTTAATGCCTAAATTGTTAATCTCTGGCTCTGAATAACAAATCTTATATATATGTTATTTTAATCTAGTGTATGGGCTTTCAAATCAACAAATCAGCAGCATGCCTTACCCACTATGTCCAGAAGCCCCGGGGCAAAAATGAATACATAACTGCCTTCTGTTAATTGTCGCACAAACTTAGGAGAGACGAACAGATAACTAACATGAGCAGCACAGTGCAATGAGAGAGATATTAACTGAAGTCCTGTAGGTGTTCAGTTCTCTTGACCCTTTGCTTATCCCTCAATTTAATGTCATGTCAAATGTCAAATTAAAAGTATTAAGATATTCAAGAGATTGCATTATGCATGAAATAGCTTATTTTGTAAAAAATAATTTGAAAGTAGATCTTTGCCGTTACGATGATTAAATGGAGAAACAAGACTGAAAACTGACATAGCCTTTTAAATCACACAGCTGGCAGAGCTGAGAGAGAGATTGGACCACGCGGAGGCTGACAGACAAGAACTCCAAGATGAACTCAGACAGGAAAGGGAGGCAAGGAAGAAGTTAGAGATGATGATAAAAGAGCTAAAGCTGCAAATTTTGAAATCATCAAAGACTGCTAAAGAATAGAAACCTTTAAAGAGATTCGTCTGTGTACTCCGGACAGGGTTTTTTGGTTTTGGTAATAGAATTGTGAACAACTTATATGTATGAAGATAACAAGGCATTCTATCCATTTGTAGATCAGAGAAAGTGAAAGATTATATATTAGTATATAAATTTTTACATTTTCCAAATGAATGAAAATGTATGTTTCTTTGTACTTTTTTTCCAACCAACTTAATAACAGTGGTTTCAACTAGTAGATAAGCTGCCTATATTTCTAATGCAAACTTTACAGTTGTATACTTTTTTAAAGCTGCATTGTGTGATGGCAAATAGCTGTGGTCAGTTTTGTTACCCATATTTCAGACTCAGTTTTAGATACAATGATGACTTCATATTTTCAGATATACAGAGCTACTCTAGAAGTTGAATCTCTGTTCTTTTTTTCCATGCACACAAGCTCCTTTCTAAGTTGATAGAGTATATTCATTATTATACACAAAATGTTGCTTTTGTTTTGTACAGATTGTGGGACGAATTTCCACCAGTTCTCTTCTTAGTGTTTCCTACTAAGACATTTTATGCAACGAGGAATTTCATTGATGAGGTTAAAGCACACCCTGTGGGCACAATGGGGAAGGATAACATGCTTTGTTATGCACCGCTGCTAAAAACAAAGTAGTTGTAATTTTTCGGTTTAAATGTGGTTATATTTAGAAAAAAATTTTATGCAGCAGTTTCAGAAGAGGGAATAAAAAGTAATACTTCCTCAACTTTTGTTATCAATAGTAGTGTGAAAAATGTTCTTGAGAAAAACTGGTATCAGTGATGTACATTTTGTTTCTATGGAACTCCGAATACTCCTGTACAGTTTTTATGTGTAGCTTTGGTTCTTTCTGAAATTTATATAATGGATTTGTTTTCCTTTAAATTGTAAAATATTAAACACCTTGAAGGTTATTTTGGACTTTCGTATGTTTAAATGTTAAGATAAGTCTTAACCAAAATTTGCACGAATGGACCATCTTCAATTACTACTTATTATTAAAATCAGGAATTTACAGTCAACTGATGGTGTGTGATAGGTTAATATAGGAAAGTTTAGTTATCTGCTACTAAAATGTTTTTAGATAATATTTAGAAGAGAAAGGAATTCCATAGTTTGGGGAGGGGCAACATCTTCTGCACTTTTTTTTTTTTGCACAGAAAAGTCGTATTCTTTCTTGGCAAATTTCATATTAAATGATTCTTGGTTTAAAAGATAATAGGTAAAATTCTTAATAGGACTTTTTTTAAAGGGACATTTGCTGAAACTATCATTAATTGACATGTATTACCGCTTGATTTTTATGTTTCTCGTGTTCTCTCGTAAGGTACTGTATGAAATTACTTAAGAGAGCTAAATTTATTTTTAAAATAAATTAGCTAGGGTTAAGGTTATATACTATTCCCAGGGTAGATAGTAGATGCTTTTCTGGTATAGAACTTCAAAATTTCTAGGTTATCATTTATTTAACGAGTTATTTTCATATTTTGCTTAATGGTACTCACAAAAACAATTTTTGTACTTTCTGAAGTGTAGTTTCTTCAGTAAATAGAGTATGATCTAAGTGTGTGTTTTCTATTTAAATTTTACTGTATTAACCCTGTAGCTAATTTGTTGATTCTTGGAATCTTCTTAAGAAGAAACAAATGTTAAAATGACATATAGGAACAAATGTTAAAAAATGACCTGCCCTCTCAATTATCTTTTGTTTAGATCTGGAGAAAGAAAAATCACAAAGACATTTATGATATAGTTTTATTTTAGTTGTGAATTAGTTAAGTGTCACGGCTTACCTTTTGGAAGACAAACTCAGGCCCATATATTTTCATTTATTTTTCTAATCCACTCAATCGTTTTGCTTATGTTTACTTAGTAAATGATAAGCCTACTTAACTCTCAACCCAAAACTTCTAAAATAAATCATTTAATCTTTGAAATATGTTATTTTAAAATTCTAAATGGTGCTTAAACACCATTAAATTATTATAAAATCATAGTTTAGAATTGAATGAAAATATTTTTTCTAGTCCTTTACATACCGAAAACTTGCCACGCGACATTGTATAGTCTTCATTTTACAGAAGATACATTGATGTGCCATAAGTTTCTGTCTTAACTTCTTTGAAAATAGTTTTTTAGTCAGTTGTAAATATTATACCTGTTCTAGTTAAAAGTAATTTTATGTTAAACTGCACCACATAGCTTGAAAACAATATAGAAATTTTATAATACTTCAAAAGTGGCCTCCACTAAAATATCTTATCCATATAAATTTATTCTTTGCATGCTCATTTGTGTGTTGGTTGCTAGCTTAAAGTTTGATGTAGTTTTTGTGTGCCAGATTTACTAGGTAAGCAAATACTTTCCTCAGACTTTGTAATGTTATTCTTTTAAGGAAAAATATAAAAATGTTTACTTAAAAAAAACTGCATTAAAGAAATGGCCTGTAAAAAGTTGTGCTAGAGCATCTTTAGGAAGAAGAAAAAATATTTCCTTACTGGGTGATAGGTCATGTTTAATTTTGGTGATGATAGTTTCTTAAATTTATGAGAAAAATGAACCAAATTTATAAAGGTAGAAATGTTAAACCTTCTGCTGTCATTGAAGAAGCTCTGAATCACCCTAAATTCACAAATGCAGCTTTTAACACTATAAAAGGATTTGACCGACAACTTAAAAGTTTGGCTTGTACTTGAGTTTTTAAAAAGCATATTCTTTTGCTTGAATTTCTGTGTAGAGTTAGGATGTTTTATGCTTCTTGAACTAATTTTATAACATTCAATATATTAATAGTTTAGACAAAATCATTTGTACATATTGAACTATAAAGCAGTTACTAAAGTAGGTAAAATAGAGCGAGTAAAATATTTGTAGGTTCTCCATATATTTTAGAAGTCATGACAGAACGACCAGTTTATTTGCACATCTGTGGCTTCAGTTTTAAGGAAAGTAAATGATAAACAAACTCAAGTAATATGAAATGTGCTCAAAGTATTTCCCTATAATTAATTGTTAAGCTGGTGCTGAAGGTTTTTGATCTGCTTCTAAAATTTTCTTCTCAAAGATAAAATTTATGTTTTGATTACTTAGGGAAGAATTCTTCACTTTTATTTGCTCTTTAGGCATTTAATCCACATGACAGGACATTAAAAATTGATAGAATGAAAAGTTGTGCTCATACTGTACATTTTTCTGTGCTTGGAACTACTTATTAATAGTTTTTATTGAAGCTGTCAGCAATAAGGGACACATAACTGCTGTATTATACATTGTGGAAATGAATAAACAGCTTAAAATTTTTTTCTAGTATAGTATTTCCACTATTGGCAGAAAATTGTATGAGTATTTTATATGGCATCTTGTATAAAAGGACAGTCTTTTTTTTTTTTGTAAAACCTTTTCATTGAATTGCTTCTAAACTACATAGTATAATTTGGAGCCTGTTTCTTTAGTAATATGTCTTATGTAATACTTGTGTAGTGTTTTTGAATTAGAAAGTGATCTAATGTAAAAACTAAAATTACAAGAAGCCCAGAAAACAAAATAGTGTATTAAGTTAGTTTAATGTAAAAGAAATTTATAAGATTTTTTTCTTCAGTATAGATACCTCACTTGAAAATAAAGCACAGCAACTTAAAGTAGTTCTAGTAGAAAGATCCTACTAAAAGAATTGCTTAATCAAGGACACCTTTTGGGGATTTATAGTTTGTGAGAAATAAAATATTTGCTTTTAACCATCCTTTTAGAAGTATTTGTTTATCCTAATAATGTTAAACCAACACAGTAGTCTATTATGTTATTTCTGAGTTTCTAATTGTTAAGGCAGTAACATGAAATATCTGTTCTGCAGCTGTTAAAACTAATTGTTGACTACATTGACAATAATTCAATTTAAAATTTTGCCAGTGATGTACAGTTTTTTGGTTAAAATTGCTGTGGTTGGTTGCATTATATGACACACAAAACTGTCCTCTACCTCACGTGAAATAAATATTTTATATGGTTTTATAAACCAGACTCATCTATCTGGTCACTTAGTTTAGGTGAGCAAGACTCGTCTATCTGGTCACTTAGTTTACAAATTTTGAATTATATTTATTGAAACATGACATACTGTGCTCTTAGCTTATACCTCAACTGTATTTCGTGCTGTTTTCCATTTTCATGCCTTGTAAATAACTTGTATAGATTGTGGATTAAATTCCAAATAAAAACTTACAATGCCAATGAAATTGATTCAAATCATGTGAGTGTTGTGTGAACTTAACTTTCTTGTCCCTTAAGATTGACATTTTCTACTTTTGTACCTTTAATGTCTATTATTCATTACACACTAAGTGATTAACTTTAAAAACCTTATTATAAAATGTGAAATTTTATGCAGTATTTCAGGTGATAAAAATAGGAACATTTTGTGATTATTCTCTTTCATGATACCTGGACTTTTGCTAACATATTTTTCCTCCCACCACTCCTGGTATTAGTTATCTGTTGACACAACAAATTACTCCAAAATGTAGCAGCTTCAAACAACAAATATTATGTCACATGGTATCTGAGACTCAGAAATCTGGCAGCAGCTGAGCTGGGTATTTTGGCTCAGGATCTCTTATGAGGGTGCAGTTAAGATGTTTCCCAGGCCTGAAGTCATCTGAGAGCTTGCATGGGCTAGGGGATCAGCTTCCAAGCTCAGACAGGTGGCTACGGACAGGGGCTTCACTTCCTCATTACGTGGGTCTCTCCTTAGAGCTGATCATGACATGGAGGCTGGTTTCCCCCAGAATGAGTGATCCAAAAGAGGAGCAATATCACAATTTCCTTTATGACCCAGACCAAGCTGCACACTGTCGTTTTTGCCTTTTTCTCTTTGTTAGAAGCAAGTCACTAAATCGAGCCCGTACTCAATGGGAGGGAGTTATGCAAGGGTATGAATATCAGGACGTGGAGATCATTGGAGTCATCTTGAGAGTCTGGCTACCACACCTTCCAACTTACTTTGAAAATGTCAGAGATTTTCAAAGCTCCTTAATGACATCTCATTCCCTAGAACTTCCTTTTTATTTTTTTTGGCCAGCCTCTTGTTTGCTTCAACTGGTAGTGCTGCGTCAGGCAGGTGCAGTGTCAAACAGTTGCCAATGATTGGTTTTGACAATGCCTTGAAATAGGGGTTTTCCCATTGAGTGAGCTCTGAGTCAGGTCAAATAACAAGCCGTGCGAATGGTGCATTTCAAAGGAGCTGCCAGACAGGTCAAATAGTGACAATTCTCTAGGGATGTGGCTTTTTGAGGAACTCCAAGCCCGGTCTGCCCCCACCCTCCCCACCCCCCCACCAGTGGCTGCTAGTTTTTTTTTTCAACAAAGACAAGTTCATTCTATCACAGTTATGAATCTAGAAGTCCAAATTCAGGGCACTAGCTCTAGGAGAAGGCTGTTTCTCTTTGTCATCTGTGCAGGAGGGTCCTTAACCTCAGTCTTCCCCTGGTGTAAGAGCTTCTCAGCACAGGGGTCTCTGGTCCAAAGGATGTGCTCTGCTCCCAGCACTTCTTTCTTGGTGATATGAGGTCCCTCTCCTCTCTGCTCACTTCTCTTATATCTCAAAAGAGATTGACTGAAGATACAACCTAATCCTATAGATTGTGTCCTGCTTCCTTAACAGAACTGCCTCTCATCCTGCCTCATTAACATCATAGAGGTAGGATGTACAACACTTAGGTAATTACATCAGATCACAAAATGGAGGACAACCACACAATACCAGGAATCATGGCCTAGCCAAGTTGACACACATTTTTGGGGGGACACAATTCCATCCATAACAATAGGGAAAATACTATCTTCAATGCCAGATTCAGAGAATTTTATCACTGGATGAAGAGCAAACCCAGACATTGAACAAGGGTCAGACCCAGTGAATTTCTTGCTTACTCTTGGAACTAATGACCTCTTCTGATCTCTATACCTCTGAGCATCATGGGTTTTCAGTTTCATTATCAGGAGACTTCAGAATTCACCCCTCTTCAGAACATTTGCTTTCCTGTGCTTCAATCTGTCCCTCACAAGACACGTTCCCGGTCACTGTTGTGCTCATCCTCAGTATCCTTACACCTTATCTCCAGATGAAACCTGTCCTCTTCTCTCCTGGGCCCGGGGAGCTTCTGAGCAGAACTGGTGTCTTAGGTCAGCTATCCTGAAGCTTCTTCCATCCTGGTGCCCATGGGGCTGGATCTCTCCATGCAGTAGAGGGGGACATGGTAGGGGGGACAGGGCTGATGGGACGGATTTTCCAGGCGAGGTGGATTCAAGAAACCTAAATGGAGTTCTTCTCTGAAGGGCCCATATTTCAAGCCCAAACACTGCTCCTCCCAGTCTGAATCCTAGAGGGTCTTCAGGTGCTTCCTCTTTTGGCCCTTAGGCCACACCCACACCGTCTACAGCCAGGTCTCCCACATCTGCAACAGCATCAGTAGGTGCGGTAGCCTCTTCAGCCACTGTCTCTGCTCCTCCTGCAGATGCTCCTGGAGGTGTCTGGCTCTTCTTGCTTGGACTCCAGGATGCTGACTAGGGACTTGGTGTTGGCTAGATGGGGGGCAGAGCATATGGCGCTGACTTTCTTTGAGAACTCGGCCTCAAGACCAGAGGTCTCTTGCCCACAGGGGCATGAGATGTTTTGGTCTGCCAGACCATGGCCACCCCCTTGACTTTACACATTTGGGTGAAATACACGCAGTTGACCCATTGCTTCTCTGGAATAACCTGATGAGTGAGAAATCTGCTCAGTGGAAACTGAAGAAAAAGATCTCTCTGATTCTTAATGAGTCTTCCTGGGCCAGGAGCTTGGGCTTTTTGCTTCTGATGTTCTAGCCTGAGTGGCATTTTCCTCTTGGATTGAGACCTATGATAATAGAGAGTTAATCTATATCGGCCCTTTCTGCACTGAGTCATCAGCTATGACCTAAGGCTCTGGTCTCATGGATCTCTGGAGGCCTCTCCATCACCACCATCCTCCACCAATGCACACCCAATAGTTTCTTTCTTCTTCCCCAAGGACTCACCTTCTTCGGGGACTTTGGGTAATAAGGTCTTCTCTGGAAAATTTCAGTGATACTACTACCTTACAGTAAAAGTCTATAGTTTCTCTAAGAACAATAATACATTGATAGTTTATATTATAAACAGAGGATCGCCACATTAATTTTTTTGGCATTTGTTGAATAACAAATAAATTTGCTCCTTTGGAACATGGAAATGACCTCATTTCTCTGAAGCTTTATAATAACACATGACTTCTCTGAAAGATATTTTATATGAAAGTGGTTTTCTTAGTAAATTTAGAATGTAAACAGTGAAACAAGAGAAATGGTCACTTCTCTTTTAACCTCTTTTCAACCTTCTTTTAAGAGAAGGCTTTTTGTAGAAGGAATTATGCTTAAAGAGAGAGAATAATTTGTATATTTATATGTACTGAAAATGTCTCCTTGTATCCTCGACCAATCCATAGCAGGAAATTAAAATTGCCTTTCTCTTAACAGAAGGCCTTTAAAAAAACAAAATCAAACACGTTCTGACTCACGGTGAACCTTTAAGACAGAGTAGAACTGCCCGATAGGCTTTCCAAGGAGCAGGTGGTGGATTTGAACTGCCAACCTTTTGGTTAGCAGCCATAGCTCTTAACCACTGAACCACCAGGCCTCCTTACCATGTCCTTTTTAGAAGGACTCCTTCAGGGTGAGGTAGAAACAGATGTCCATATCTGAGAGCCTTGATGGCACAAACCTCAGTGGCCAAGACACAACAACCTCACCTGAGTGTGTCTGGGTGGGTTGTATATGTAAACATGAATGATCTGTATTTTTCTTTTTTTAAAATTTATTTATTATTGTAGTTTAATGGCTGCTAGTTTTGACAGCTACTGCAGCTGCAAGGCTGCTAGTTTTTAAGGCTACTGCAGAGCAGGCTCAGGGAGAATGGGAATAGGGCAAGTTAAAATACCACAAAGCTCACCGTTCGTACCAAGATTCAGCAGTTTTTCTCGAACAAACGCTTCCTGGCTTTTTGCAAGCCTTTGGACATTTCCAGAGTTCTGAAAAAGTTTATTTTGACAATGCTTATCATTGCTTTTATGGAACAGCAGATTTTTGGAACTCCTTAGTCCGCCATTCCAGAAGTTAGCCCTCTGAAAATAGTTAGTAGGTGTGTTCAAGTAAAGCTTGCTAGTAAAATTTTAAAGTAATGCAAATATATACTAAGTAAAATGAAAGTCTCACCATTCTCCACACAACCCTTGCCACAATTTCTGTTTCTCAGAGATTACCACTGTAATTATTTGGGGGGAAATAACTTAGACTTTTTTCTGTATATAAATAATGTATGTATGTCTCTATCTCTCTTGTGCTCTCCTCTCATTCAAAATCTCTCTTCCTGTCTCTAATTAGTAGAGCACAGTGATAAAAGAGTACAGATTCTGATGTTTGAGCTTGAAGCCCATTCCCATCATTTGCTTGGACTGGGTACATAACGTCCCTGAGTTGCAATTCTTTTTACTGTAAAATGGGAATACTAATATCTAACTCATAGTCATATTAAATGAGAGAATCCATGTAAAGTACTTAGCACATAGCTAACATTTATTGAGCACTATTAAAATATTTTCCACTTGTACAAAAATTCATAATAAAAATGCAACAGTGGCCTTGAGGGGAATAGCCCTGAAAGGCTACAGGAATCTGAAAACATTTAGATTATTTGTGACCTTGGACATAGGACATACGCAGATCTGTAGGTCCTGGGAAAGTCTGTACAGCTTCATCCTTCACTGTCACAGTCATAGGAACATCTATGTATGCACCTTTAGAAGGAACACAACCCTTCTAGTTTGCTGCAGCCCCCCTCACTCTATTAATCACAGTCAGTATTTCTGTGCCAATTATGGTTCCCATCTGGATTCTGTAGGTCACATAGGCAGTGACACCCGTAAGAATTCTGACTTCAGAGTACATGGCTTCTTGGCAGGACCCAGGAAACAGCATCTCTTTAACAGTGCTGGAGCATATGGGTCATTCCCTGGGAACAAGGGACCCAATTAATGCTTCTAAATGCACTAGAGGTTGTCACAACTGCTCCCTCCTCAGGGTCCAGGACCTGGGTCTTTAAATAACCCTGCCATCCAGACCACAAAATTAGGCCCACAGACCCCTTCATTCTTTCCTCAAGGCTTTGGGTAGCAATGTAAATC